ATATATATATATATATATATATATATATATATATATATATATATTACTTTCAAATAAGTACCATTAATCACAAATGATAATAATTATTGTCAATTCTTGAATTTAGCATGTGGAATTTCTTTTTTAAATCAAGGATAAATTAACTTATACATGTAAAAATTTGAGAAGAAAAATAGTTATCGATACTAAAGGTCAAATTTATGTATGTCTTAATGTCAGGACTTAATATTAAGGGCTTTCATTTTTTTTCATATTTTCAAAAATTTAAATGATAATTTACTTATATTAAGTTAATTTAACATTAATTTGATAATGACGAGTTTATAAATAAACTCTTAAAAAATATGATGGCAATTATTTCAATTTATATTATACTTTTTGATAATGATAATTATAGTTGTATATTTTACATTATATTATGATTATTATTCCTGTTCAAATTATTATTGTCTTTAATCATTTTATTTTAATTGTTGATAAAATTTGTTTTGTAATAATAATATATTTATAATATTGTTAAAATTTAAAAATAAGGTTGGAAAATAATTGGATGTAATACAATCTATCAAGGATAAATGTTTGATGAGTCACAATCAAATTTATATTTTTTTTATATTTATTTTTCAATACGTAATGCGTGTTTGATGAGTCACAATCAAATTTATATTTTTTTTTATATTTATTTTTCAATACGTTAATGAGTTTAATATAATTTAGAAAATAGGGTTAAGTATATTTATATATATCATCATATATATGATACTATACTATTATACTAAATATAAAGTCAAATATTCTTATTTTTATACGGAACAACTTATATATCAAGTTTATTAAATATTATTGAAAACACATATAAGAATTTATATGAATATTTTATTTTATTTTTTAATTTTATTTTGTTATATTTAATAGGAGAAATTCATTTGGATATTTTTGTATTAAAACTGTCTGAAGTATCATGTAACTTATAAGAAAAATAATATATCATATTGTTCTAATAATAAAAAAACAAAAAAATTAAAAAATTGGGCAGATTTTAAGTAATCAATGTGAATAAATAGTTTATTGTATAAGAAACCCAAATCAATCAAATTTATTTTTTAACTTAATTTAAAATAATTAGTCATTAAAAATATAAGTAGTGATAATTGAAATATGAAATTCATAAACTTTACTCTTCCAATTTATTGTTTTCTTATTATTTCACAATGCATAATTTGTTTAAATAAGTTGTCAAATAAAAGTTAAAAAAATATAAATTTGTCAAATTATATTTCTAAATTTTTTTTATAAAATATAATTTTTATTAATTCAATTATTGAATTTCATTATCCTATAATTAGATAATATATAGAAATTTCACATCAAATATTTAACACACAAATATACACTTAAAAAATATATTTTACATTTCATAAATTAACATATATTATTTATATTTCTTAGAATAATTTTTTTTTGTAAATTCGTCCCTAAGATTAATGTTGAATATTGAAAGAAACATAAAAAGTGACTAATAATTTTTTTTAACTGAAGAAGATAAGTGAAGTTAGTTTTGATATTTACTTCTCTCATCCAGGATGGACCCATGGGCTTCAAGGGTGAAGTTCAGGCCTCCCACTTCGAGGGCTGAATACACAAAATGATTATTTATATATTTTAACTTTTTATCTTCTGTTATTTCACTCTTTTCATTATTTGAAATAATGAAAAACTTTAACATTAAAAGACATAAAAATATTTAACATTAAATAAAATATATTCTATAAATTTTTAAATATTTTATAAATTTGTAAATATTTTTAAAATTATAAATTTGTCCAATGATGTTAATATTATTATTCATTACCTTTTTAGAAAGAAAAAAAACACTTTCTATTATTATATTTATGTATTTTACAGGAAATGATAAAGGTATAGAATAAATATCAATCAAGGTCAAATTACAGATATATAGTTGCTTCTTATTAATTCTATTGTTTTATTATCCATTGCTTTTGGTGTAATTTATTACAGAAAAAATTATTATTATTATTATTAGTAGTAGTAGTAGTAGTAGTAGTAGTATTATTAGTATTATTATTAATGAGATTAACTACCAAAGTGTGCCTAACATTTCAATGTTATAGAATGCAGGTTAGTTTATTCACACGGATCTCTTTAAATTGTTCTTATCTTAATGTAAATTTTAATAGTAAAAAATAAACATAATTCAATGAAAAGTAGAATTATCATTTCTATATTGAATTTAACTATCATATATTAATTACTAAATGCTAGTAAAGTAAATTAATAATATAGACTGAACTAGATTTTTATCTTGAAAATCCACATTCTAATAATGTTCTAATTACTAAATATTAGGCAAGTAAATTATAATTTTATTTTTATTTTTGTAAAGTCAAACATAAAAGAAATGAAAGCCTTAATTGTTAGTTAAGAGAATGTAGGTTGGAATAGGTCATTTCTCACAAATCCTTGTTATTTGCGAAAACCTAGGATTAAGGACAAGGTGTTGAGGTGTCTTGTAAGCCATCCATTTGTTCTTGCCATTTGAACCATTTCTAATAATGTGTATCTTTATTTTTGTGCCTAACTAGTAGGAAAAGGTCATTAACATGTCCTCTTGTTGCAATTAATTGCTTATGTGAAAGGTTAGGAGAAAATACAAGGCATAGATGCCTCTTAACTCAACCCTTATCTTTAGTTTTTAGTTTTTCTCTTTGGTCAACCATAATTTCAAATAAAAACCCTAATTTAAATATAATATTTTTTTTAATTAATCTCAACATTTTTTTTCAATTTATTTCTTTGATTAAATAAATTTATTTTAGTAAAATTGTTTCAAAAACTAAAGTATTTATTATATTGTTAATATATGTGAAACAATACTAAACTATATTCCCTTTACGAAAAAATAAAATGTAAGAATGAGATTGGGCTTCATTGCAGGCCGAAGTGGACTTGTTTCTTCCCTTGGGCCGTCATCCTATGGTATGACAACCTATGACATATACTTGGGTAAACACACACTTCAACCCTATCTGGCATGACAATTCAACAGTTGTTTGTCAGATGTTACTAGGCAGATGAAGTAAAGGTAGGGTCACAACACAACATTCATATTTTCTTATCTTAACTTAACCCATCACTATCACTTTTGTAATAAAACCAGACGGCGACGTTTTCCAACTCTATAACCTCCAAACCTCAATTTAATTTATGCAATTACAAGTTCAGCGTACAAAGTAACATTCAAAGCGCGCTTCAGTAGTTTGTTACCCAAAAAAAGCTCTCATCGAAACATTACTCCAACATGTTAGTTAGTGCTTTCAGCCACAAAGGCATGAATTCATAAATTAATAAATAAATAATATGTTTTATTTTAACACTTTTCTCTTGTCCTATAAGATTATGTGATAAAACGATTAAATTTTATTAAATATTTATGTAAAACTTGTGACTGTATAGACAAATTGTATTGGTAAAGTGTTAAAACAATAATAAAAATGTACTGAAACATTAACTATTATTTTAATCAATAACTTGGTCTTGATATTGTGGTAAAATTATATATTGGTGATTAAAGGCAATTACTTGAATTGAATCATTATTTTTTTATTTCTCATTTAATACTCACTCTTATACCAATAGATAAGGTGAAAGCAAAGATACATAACATTTTACAAAATGAAACAAAATAATAATAATAATAATAATAAATAAATAAAAAAAGGTCGGAAATAACATGTAATTTGTAATGCAAAAAATACTGTAAAAAAAATCTCGCATGCACTCTATTATACAATCATTTCAAAGTTCTCTTATATGGTTGAAGAATTGTAAAAAATGGAGTCTCAATTATGAAAGAAACAGTCAAATTTACTCTATTTACCTATGTAAAAGTAACATTCAAATTCTGTCAACATTTTTATGACAATGGCAGTTAAAAGTCATTGACTGAGGATACTTTTCTCGAGTTTGCATTAAGTGTGGGATTTAGCTGGAATTGATATATTTATGATGGGGTTTGAAACGGTTAAAATAAATGCATCATACAATTCAAATGAAACTAAGTTTGTTCATTAGTAGTATCCACAGTTCCCCCCAAAGGAATTCAGTGATAAACAGCCACAATAGCCCATGTGAGTGGCATGAATTTTGCAAAGAGATTTTGGTGACGGGGAGAGGATGTTCAACAGTTAGCCATCTGAATGCATAAATTGGATGGAGGCAGTTGCTGAAATTGTGGCTTGGTTATTGCATCACAGGCTCATGAATAAAGGATGTTCCCAACAGTTCCCAACCCCTTCTTCTTCTTCTATTTCCATCATCATTCCACCAAAACAGTTCACAGAAACTACTTTTCTGTAGCCAAATAAAAAAAGGTCAAACCACCCTTGGCTTGAATTGAAAGTCGGAACAGGAACACGTATTTATTTATAACATAACCTTAAAAATAAGGACTATACACTACTTTACCATACCAATTCCTGTCCTTTCCTAGCTTCTTACACGTATCACCCTATTCAGTCCTTCTGTCTCCCAATTTGTTTTAATTAGTACCTTCCTATTCTTAGCCATATATTCCAAGTAACAAACGAATGTCTCGGACACATTTAATATCCAAATGATCCGTTTCAATCTTCATTTGGCTGGTCGACAAAGTTAACCAAGGGATTATTAATATAGAAAGCGCCAAAAATAAAAGAAAGATCAAGAATATGAAAATGAAAATGAATAGAGAAGGGTTATAGTAATCAAATTATATTATTATTTTTATTGAGGGGGTCCCCATGTGATAAAAGAAAGGAAATCACAACAGAGATAGGTGTGAAGTGTGATTCTCAACAGCAGTGACGCAAGGATCACAGTCACCAAACTGAAGCAACTATCCTTTCTGTTTACCTCGAATGGCTTCTCAGTAATATTGGACCACACCTATATTGAGGAGCTTCCGGGGAAGGTTGCAGCTTTTTGTTCGGTTCTAACTTTGATCATGTGGCTCCTACTCCAAGGAAGTCAATAAATGGAGGTGGAATTGCATCTGGGGGGTCACTGCTCATGGCTTGATCTCTGCGTTCTGCCACTGATGATAGTGAAGCTTCACTGCCCAATATCTGTGCTGTGGAATTTGAGAAACCGTAAAAGTTGTGATTGTTTTGGTGTTGCATTAGCATCAGATATTGGGGGTAATGAGTGTAGAAACCAGACGGTTGGTGATGATTCTGGCCAAAATAGTCTCCCACCATGTCATTGCTTCTAGCACCTGCAGGTCCAAATACAGTGCTAAGCTATAGTGTGATGAAAGAAATGTGATTATAACTATGCAAGTGTTTAGGGGTAAGGACTAGTTAAGCTGCGACCCAAAAAGGGTTGCATCAGTCACTGTTGCAGACCAAAAAGATAGACGGAGAACATCAGAAAAAGTAACACATTTAACTTTGTTTGAAAAGTAAGAAACAGTGTTGAAGGCTAATGAGTGAAGTTGTAACCATAAGCATTTGAAGGCGAGAAATTTAGTAAGGATTTGAAATGGACACCAACCCGAAAAGAAATCAAGTGGTGTTTGTTGAGGATACAAGGCAATATGAGGAGGGGCCAGCTTGGTGGTTGAGATTGCTTCTTTGGAAGAAGTCATGTGGGGTGAGCCATTTAAGCTATACTCAACCCCACCAGGAGGAGAAACTACTCCATGGAAGGGTGCAGCAGCATATGGGAAACTAGGCATGTTATTGTTGTTGGCAAGTCCTCCATTTGGGAGATTGAGACAATAAGGTGGTGGTGGTTCTGTCCCTGCAGTGGCTGTGTCTCTAGAGACAATGCTGCTTGTTGTGTTTTCCTCCACTCTCCTGTAAACAGATTGGCTCAGCCTCCTCCGCCTGTAGGCACTAGACTGCTCTCTGTACTTTCTGGCCATTATAACGTGCCAGTGATTCTTCACTGCATTATCTGTTCTTCCAGGGAAAAGCCTTGCAATCATGGCCCATTTGTTGCCATAAATCCTATGTGCCTGCATTAGTCTCTCTTCCTCTTCTTCACTGAACGCTCTCCTATTGATTCTCGGGTCCAACTGGTTGAACCACCTCAGTCTACAACTCTTGCCTAAAAACACAATACATCCCCCAATGAGATCTCAAAAAATAAGATCAAAGAAAAAGCGTTTAATGATATAAAAAAGGGTCAACAGCTAGACATTAAAAAACATGAGATACAAATTCTTTAAGAAAAGAATGAAGCATAAGTTTATATCTCTACGGTATCCATTTGCACTTGTTTTCACACCTGATCTTCCTTCTAACTTCTCGGCTATGAGGTTCCAGTTCTGAGGGCCATAAAGAGCCACAAGCTCCTTGAGCTTGGAATCTTCTGCTGGTCTCCAATGCCCTCTTGCACAGAGCTTGGAATGCCCTGAACCACTATTAGAATTGTCATTAGGGTTCTCGTCGTTAAAGTTATTAGCATTATGGTTAACTTTGTCACTGTCTTCCCCACCCCCATCATCACTGCTATCAGACCCTTTACCCTCTTCCGCTCCATCACTGGTGGGATGTTCCTCAAAGTTCCTCCCAAGGCATTCCCTCATAAAGGGCAAACCCCAGTTTGTGCCGCCGTTGGAGACATAACAATCTTGATGAGATGAAACCACACCATAGTTGGAACAAAGAGAAAGAGAATCCATATCAGCATAAACCATTCCCATGGACGGAGGGGAAGAAGAGTATGAAGAAGAAGAAGCGTATCGGGTGAGGCTATGTGTGTTTTCTTGTGAAGAGTATGCGACACCAGCAGGCCACGCCTTCATATTTTTCTAACTTTCTCACAAAAGATGAAGAAAAATATAAATGTTTTTCTCCAGTGTTGCAAAGTGGGAAAAGCGAAGATCAAGAAGAAGAAGAAGAATATGTTATGTTATGCTACGAAGAGGAGGAGTAACATGAGAGGAAAGTTTGACAGCACAGATAGTGAAGGGGGAGAAGAGATTTTTGCAGGACTTCTTAAAACAGCTAAAGTGCTTCGGTTTCAAAAGTTTCAAGCGGTGAAGCCTCTCAAGAGATATACCTACACGGATTCTTTCTTCACTAATAAGACCATTGGTTCAATGAGAAAAGAGGGAGAGGGAGTGTGTGTGTGTGTGTGTGAGAGAGAGAGAGAGAGAGTGAGAGGAGTTTGAAGTAGTTAGGTACCCAGACTGAGGCAAGGAGTCTGGCATTCTTCATTTAACCAGTTGCTGTCATTATATTACTACTATTTATTCTATTCTTTTAACAAATCACACCTCACTCACACGTGTGAGAGTGAGAGACAGGGAGAAAGTAATACATTTTCTCTCTCCATTCATGGGCGTTGCAGGGTCTTAGGCTGTCTCTCTCTAAATTGACAAGAAAGACAGTAATGTGATGGGTGCTTACTTGGGGTTGTGGCAGCAGCAGGGACATCTTTCTTTTCAAAGCACATCAAAATTGAGGGCTTGGCTTTGCCATTGCTACACAACACAACGGAACAAGCCTTGTCATGTTCATATGCACTAGCACTAGTAAATGACCCTAGCATAACCTATTCATCAACCTATTTTCTCTCTCTTTCAATATCTCTGTCCCCATCAACATCAGCGTCACTGCATCACTCCCTCCTTCTGCTTGTGCTTATGTTTTTGCTTGGTCGTGTTATTAACTAGATGCAATGCAATTGAAAGATGGTTCAGTAACCTTGGTTTCAGTTGAGGTAACCACTTGAAGTCGACTTAACCACCAACCAATCCCTGCCGTAAACATCACATTTACTCTATACACTACATCCATCTACCTCAACTCATTTACTACATTACTTCCTCTTCAAATTTTATACATAAAAATTATATATATTTTTAAACTATTCCTAATTATATTAATCGAAAATGCTACCCAGGCTTAAACTAATTTAAGACTATTTTCAAATAATTAAATTAAATAGAATTGAGTTCATTGAAATTTATTTATATTTCAAATAAAATTCGTATATTTAAGTCCAGTGAAAAAATCTACAGGTAGGATAACTTTGTAAATTATAATGGTCATTTATTGAAATTTACATTGTCACGTTTTTAAAGGTCTTTATTTATTATAAAATATAACAATTATAAAGATAATTTGTATTAAATCATAGTATAAAATTATTTACCTAATTCTTTTTCTCAAATTTCTATCATTTCTTTAAATGTTGTTTATCTAAAATAAATATTTTGTTTGGTTTTATTATTCATAAATTAATTCCATTAGTTTATTAATACTTACCAATGTAATTTTTATTTTTAGTATTTTAAAATTTTAATATTTATGATTTTTATAAGTACTTGTATTATTAATCATAAATTATTTTAACAAATAATATAGTATTTTAAATATTTCTATTTCTTTTTTCTTTTTTCTTCCTTAATAATAAACAAAGTGTTATGTAGAATGGAGGGAAGATGAAATTCAAAATAAAAAAGAAAGGATGGAATCCTCCGAAAAAGTTTCTTCACAATTTTGTAGAACTGATTATGTTCCATTAACTTCACATATAGAGACCAATTCCTACCATACCACACTCACTCTTCTATTATAATAACAACTAAGACCAAATAAAAATAATAAATGTTTAAAACAAATTACCAATAATTATTATAGTAAAATTTACGTATATTTCGAAATTAAATCATCTGTATAAAGATAATTTTTCAACTATTTTTTTTAAATCAAATAATCTTTGTTTTTTTTTCTCTTTAACCACACATCTTATATTTTCAATCTATTTTTCTCTATTTGTGCTTTTTTTTTCTCATCTTCCAAATATCTATTTTTACTCATTTCGTAAGTCTCTGTCTTATTTTCTATTCCCTTTGATTCCTCTATTTCTTTACAAAACATACATAAGTAAAATTCATTAATAATAACCTATGTTGCACCTACTTTACTTTATTTTCTTTTTTTTAAGTGCTAATCTAAGTTTAAATTAAAGTTAAAAAAGAGACTTTCAAATGAAATATAATTATTTAATATTTTTACTTGTTTAAATTTGAAATTCTTTCAACCTAAAATTTGTATGATAAAAAATTATTTCCTCATTTATATGATTGAGAACAAAAAAGCATTATGTAAAATAAAATTAATTAACATAAAATTATTTTTATTATAATAAGAGTATAGTATTGAAATACTTATAATGATTTAGTTTATACATAATAAAAATTCATATAGAAAAAATATTTATTCAGCCATAAAATTTTAGAAACTTTTGCGAAGTAAATTCCTCTTATGAAAAAATCTTTTTTATTTTTATGAGCAAAAACCATGTCACTGTTTACAAGAGGATTTTAACTAAAGTTAATTTTTTCTTGTAACAATAGTTTAACTGATATAGTTATAGTGAAAATTAATATTTTTAATGGTTGATAATCATTATTGAAGGTAAAATATATTATGACAATAATAATGTAGAATATATAACTTTAGGTAAAATAGTAAAGATTTTTTAATTATTTTAATAATAATATCAATGACCATATAAAGAACCATAAACCTGATAAATAAACATAAATTCAAAACAAAAGAGAGAACTAAATAAAATATTGTATGAATTAATGACACAATACATGTTAGATAAAATAAAATATTGGAATAGATTATACAAAATCTAAATATAAATTATATCAAGATTCAATTTATACAAAATCTTAAAAAAATTATATGAAGAGTGAATTTAATTTAATTAAGAGTATAAGTGGTTTATTGAAAATAAAATATAAAGTTTTATAGGTTAAAGTTAAAAAGAATTATAAATAGAAAAACTTAATCATTTAAATTTTTTTATCACAAAATATTTATTTCTTTATAATTTTCTTTCTTTAATTTCTCTCTAATTTTTTCATTCCCTTTTTTTCTAGATCTAATCACGCATTAGTACTTTTAGAATAAGAGTGATTAATTTTGTCCAATCAGAATTTTAAATAAAGTAAGTTTTTATTTTCTTAATTTTAGAATATTTTTGCATATTAGGGATCAGGGGTTATCTGCATGCGACTAGGGGACTTGCATGTAAATTTTACTAGAGAAGTTATGTAATTGGGTATTGTCATTAACCCGCCTAATGGATTTAATTTTGCTCAACGAATATAAAGCATTATTGAGACCGCTTAAATTTCACTCTATGCTTTGAAATCTACCTAATAGTTTTAAGACAGTGTTGAAGGTTTTTGTACAAATCTTGCTCAGCGAAATTTTGACAAAATTGTGTTATAAAGCTGATAGAAATACAAATAAACTTTATTTCTAAGGCGTGTATAAACACGGTCCTTAAGGACTTATCCACGGTGTATTGTGCAAGTCTGTCAGGATACAACAAGAACTTCTCAAAAATTTCAAGGATAAAAGAAACTAGTAAGAAACTGTTAAAGGAGTAAATAAACTCAGGATAATAGTAGAACATAAAGAAAACAGAGAAGAGAATATGAGAGAGATGTGTCTGGAAGAGTGTGAAGTGGTATCTATTTATAGGTGTAGATTGGATCCAAAATCCTAAATACCTACGTTCTCAGTAAAGTTCTCTGTAACGTTCTAAGTTTTGCAATACCCATTATTTTACAACAGTCCCCCACATATTGCAAAACAAAAGAGATAAAGAAGAAAAGAAGCAAATTTTGGGTCTTATATAAGATGTAATGCATTAGAGCTAGTATAACAAACTATATGAACCAGTCTTAACACACAGTGTAGTTGGTGTAGCAAGCTATATGAACCAAAACACTTAGTGTGTGTTAGCAGTTTTAACAATCATAATACACCCCCATAATTCTTGTTGTTATCGTTGTGTTGCGCTTACTAGGCCATGCACGTGCCCGATATTCATGAGTGTTCTATAAATCTTGCAAAGATCTCATACAAGTGGCCCCATTATCAAGTTTTTCATGTAATTGTTTTGGTGCTTGTTTTAATCCATACAAAGATTTTTAAAAGTTTGCACATTTTATTCTCTTGACCAGGAACAACACACCTTTCAGGTTGAGTCATATAAATTTTCCCCTCTAATTCACATTCAAAAAGGTTGTCTTAACATCCATTTGGTGTATAACCAGCTTATGGATAACTACTAGAGCTAACAAAACTCGAATAAAGAAAATCATAGTCACAGGGGCAAAGGTGTCAAAATAATCAATGTTGAATTTTTGAGTAAAACCTTTTGCTACTAATCTTGCCTTATATTTATCTATGGATCCATCAGGATGATACTTTTGCTTAAAGATCCACTTGCAACCAATAGGTTTTGTTCCTTTAGGCAAATCTACTAAAGTCCAAGTATTATTTTTCTTAATTAAATAAATTTCAGTCTTAATGACTTTATCCCAATGTATTGCATCAGGAGCCCTAGTAGCCTCTAAAAAACTCATTGGATCATTTTCAATTAGATAAGTGTAGAAATCATCTCCAAAGAGGTTTCCTTCCTCTGTCTTTTACTTCTCCTCAAATCCTCATATACTTTATCACTATTAATATCTATAAACTGTTTAGGTGTCTCACTAACCTTTAGAAGAAAAATCAAAGAACTTAACATTTTTTTTTTGTCCACTATAATATTATGCTCAATTACATCACTTTCGAGGATAAGAAACTTATAGGCATCACTATGTTCTGCATAGCCTAAAAACATACAATCAGAAGTTTTAGAGTCTATTTTCCTTTTCTTAGGATTGGATAACATTACCTTAGCTAGACACCCCACACTCCATTCAAGATCAGAGTCTTTTCAAATGTTAGTTTTAGAAGAACTTTTCATTTTCCTAAGATAGGATTTGTCCTGTAATCACCAAGATAAACATGTTTTTCTCCATCCTCACACTAGTGTAGGGTAAAACACTTCTGTTTGCACAGATGTGCCTGGTAGCACTAGAGTATACCACCCATTTGCTCACATTTGTCACAAACGTTTATTTGAGAAACGACTGCAATAACTGTATCTTCTCTTTCAGCTAAGAGGATTGTCGTTTCTTATTCTACGTCTGCACTGAGGTGTATGATGATCTAACTTTCCACAGACAAAGCAATTTCTCTTTTCTTCTTGAAGATAAAGTGGGGTTAGATCCATTGGTTTCATACAATATCAAACCCTTTCTTATACGTATGTACAAAATAATATACGTAATCCTATACATATATAGGAAATAATATGTGGGCAAAATACAAAATAATTGTTCACTACCAAAAATCACTCACAACATATAATACTCATGCATAATTCATTTTCCCTGTTTCATTGGTGTAATAAATCGAAGAAAAAAAAACTTGTGTTTGCCACGTGTGCTTTGTGCGCATGATGTATGCTGATAGCACTTTATCTAAAATTTTACATTTCTTCTATCATAATTATAACATGCAGTAATCAATTTCATACATAATTCACCTTTAACTCAATCATGTAATTTGTTTTTTTAATTAAAATCAATTACGAGGTCATTCACATTTCAATAAGAATTACATGGTCATTCACACAGGGGTTATGAACTAGTTTCAATTTGAAATTGATTACAGCTTAAAATATAGATTAGGATTTATTCCTCAATTTTGGGAAAATAAATTTGTAAATTAATTAGGGTTCATTCTAATTTGATAGAGAAATTCCTAAATTCGTAATTAGTGTTTATCTTAATTTGGGAAAAACTATTATAAGAGGAAAATCATAAATCTAATACACATGTAAGTTAATTTGAAGTTAATTTGCAGTTTTCCTAATTTGCATATTCTCACCTAATAAGATACAAAAATTATAAGAATAAGACTAACCTTCATTCTTCCTTTATCCAAGAGGGTATAGAGTTGTTGTTGATATCCTTACTGTCAGTCATAAGTCATTTAGATTGTTGTAAAAGGTGACAGAAACACAAACATTGCTGCCCTTAAGGACTTATCTGCGGTGTATTACACAAGTCCCCTAGGATACAATAGGAACTTCCCAGAAAAACTAGCAAGAAACTCTTAAAGGAGTAAATAAACTCAGGATAACAGGAAGAAAACAGAAAAGAGAATATGAGAGAGGTGTGTTAGGAAGAGTGTGAAGTGATATCTATTTATAGGTGTAGATTAAACCCAAAACCCTAACTACCTACCTACATTCTCATTAAAGTTCTTTGTAACGTTCTAAGTTTTGCAATACCCCTTATTTTACGACAAATTGAACATTAAAAGTGTCTATATAATCCGCTCAATCATTCAAATTTCGCTTAACAGACTTGAAATGCTCAGCACCTTCAAATTTGCTCAACCATTTTCAATAAATCATAAAAATAGCTCTAAACTCCAAAATAAATATTCCATGTATGAAAATTGAAGCCCAAAAATAAGAAATCAAATAAAATAATAATTAGTATAAAAATATATATACAAATAAAATTATGGCCAAAAGAATAAGTGGATGTCAAATTAGAAAAATATATTTATGTTTTAATTTAAGGAATAGTATGTATATGATGTTAGACTACATGT